CTCAAACAGGCAGTTATTTCTGCCCAATTCGAACTTGTAGGTATATTGCATACATGGAGTGTCAGGGCATGACTCCATGCCACTCCGTCGCCAAGGAACACATCCAGTTCCTTTAAGACGTCCTTGGCCTTTGGCATCCTCCGTGCCTGGGGCCAGCGAACACGAGCCGCTCAGACACGACCCTGAGAGGTTCCAGGGAATCAGGGTTCATGAGGGAAAAAGCCGCGACCTCTACCATGTTATTGAAAAAAATGCAGTGATTGTGCTAGCACATCTCATGTTTTAACATGCCTGCAACAGTGCCCAGCACACATGGCAAGTGCAAAAACAATGTTCATACCATTATATATAACTACCATATTTCAGGTGTGTGGCCTGTAGTTAGGGCCCGTTCAGTTCTTTGATCTGAACACAACCCCAGGTTTGAAAAATGCTACGCTTTTTGTTGCAGGTGTCATGTTCAAGGATACATTGGCATTAACGTCTTGTTTTTCTTCGCTTTGACCAACACTGTTAGCGTTCTTTTCTGGGCCAAAACGGAACCACTTAACAAGTAATGTAGGCAGTTGATCACATAAATAAATAAACCTACCCCTCTGGCATGATAAAAGGCTCTTCAATATATGAGTTATATATCATCAGCAGTCTACATTACATCTCTCTCCTTCTCCCCTCTCTTGCCCAGGAGCGTTGTGAAGCTCACTCTTGGAAATCCTCAGACTTTGTGAAAGAGAGGCGTCTCAACTCGCTACTCCACTAACGTTCGAGCGTGACTCTGACTTTGTGGGTGTTATGGCGTGTTTGTGGTGCAAGTCTCAATGGCACTGGTGTGCAGTTTTCTGGACACCTCGAGCAAGGCTTAGCCTGTCTCCCCTGTTAAGGGAATAGATGTAGACACAAAGACAGGGGAAGAAACCACAACTAGCCCTGTATATATGTCCATATATGTCATTTATTTTTATTTTTAGATAGCAAGTGCTTTTCACTCAACAAAAACTCCGTCTGACCCTCTTTCGATTGTTCAGCTTCTGACTGGATCTCTCCAGTTGTGGGGGCAAGGCCCATTCTTCTGGGGGCTTTGGAATGCAATCGCGCAACACATGAAGAATACTATGGGATCACTTCAAAAAGGGAGTTCGGAAAGACATCAAGATCCCAGAACCGTGAGCAAGAATCAGGAAAATGATTTAGAAAACACCGACAATACCTACAAAAAGTTCAAGCGGCCCGACTTACACACAAGGAGAAAGCTTCTACAACCATGTCGTTTTCTTTCAAGCAAGCTCGCTAAGCCCAACCCTTGATTGGCAATAACACCTCTAAATGGGCTTTCTGACTTTGCTCCCACCAGTCACACCTCCCGTATAAGCTTAAGCTACAAAGCCTAGACCTATTTCGGTGGCCGTTTCTGACACAAAACGATCGCTTATATCTCTACCCTTACCTGCCCCCCCTTTGCTCAGGTCTAAAGCCCAGGTTCTGACTGTTCTGATCTGTGTCCAACTCAATCAAGAGTTCTCGCAAGTTCCGCTTCCTTGCAGGCTCAAGGAAGGAAGAGAAGCACCTTTTAGTTGAAACAAACATATTGCTCAATTCAGTTCTTAAATAACTATACTAGAAACAACGTGAAATAATGACTATCTGCATATATATATATATATGTATATGTTATATTAATAGAGTCGTTTAAATGTACATATATATACCAGGACCATCCAATGGGTGTCCAATGGACTACCCTACACTGCGTGTAGGATCTCCATTGGACACCCATTGGATGGTCCAGGTATCCATATATATACACACTATACCCAAACACTCCATGGGACTGCCATATGACTGCCAATCAGTTTGGGTGGTGGTTTCGTTTTTTTTTACAACATTGTAATCACAACATCAACAACAACATAGTTCGAGCAGTATACTGACTTGAAAACAGAAAAGGGTGCATTTATACCTGGACCCTCCGACCCGACAGGGGTGTCCTGGCTGGACTGCCCCACACTACCGGGCCGTTCGGCTTCCACCGGTGGACGGCTCTAGGGGAACCTATCCAGGTCCCATCTTCGGTGGATGGCTCCACAAAGCGGTTTCACCCAAGCCCCACCAAGAGAGGTTGAAGAACCTCATAGACGATCCCAGTTCGGTACCCCAGAATGGTTCTAGTTCAGGTCACTGAACCTCTCTTGGCAAGGAAAGCCATTCCCCAAGATCCCCAAGTTCCACCCACCAGTGACAGCATGCTATTGCTTGGGGCTATCCCATTACCTGGGCCCAGTGGATGATGATGGTTAGTAAATGTTAGTAAAGGTCTTGTCCAAAAAATCCAAAAAGAGTGGTGTGCTTTTTTACTGACTGTTGCAGGCAACAGGCTATTATGCAAGTTAAGCTTCAAGTAGTCCACTGCCGTGTTCTTCTCATCCTTTTGCTTCACTTCCGAGACCACCTGCGCGCGCCCGGCACCGCAAACCCAGGCTCCAGGCTCCGCGACCAGCGTCGAGCCATGCCGGACCCCGTCGAAGCAGGTCGCAAAGGACCGACACTAGGGACACCAGGGATCATCTCAGACGCTTCCTGTCTGGGTGTCCTGTCTGGTGACTGGCCTAGGGCCTAAGTAGTGTGGGGTTGTCCAGCCTGGTCACCCTGAACGGAAGCAGGTCTGCATGGTTTAAGGCCGGACGGAGTCGTTACTCCTGAACTGCCAGGTTTCACTTGTGCTGTGCCACTTGTGGCCGTGCCTAGATTCCAATGTTGTCGTCATTCTATCGTGTGACTGTGTAAAACAACTCTGATATCCTCAGATTAAGGATCTCCATGGATACCCCACAACACAGGGCTAGGGGCGATTCCCAGCTCAGTAGGAAGATGAAGGAAGTATAGGACACGTCGTTTCTCGCTCGATTCCGACCTGGGTCTCTCCGATTTGCGAAACCCGGACCTCTTCGCCCCCTAGAATTATAGGTGTTCAGCGCTTTTCTGGACATGGATCAACTGTTGAAGTAGGAAGATTTCTGGGTTTGCCACTCTCTCCCCCCAGCCAGGCCGCCCTCCCAGAAAACCCCAAGGCTGCAAGATGGTCGAAGAGCAGGCCACAGTCCCGGGTCACATCCGTGGCCGATTGGCCGATTGGCCTCACAAACCACGCCAATGAGCATGTTCATCACCTCAACACGCCCAAACGCGCTTCTCGCGCGTGACCAGGTTTGCCTTGGAGGCCAACAGAATGGGCCGAGAATGGACATGTGTGGGGTCAGCCAACCAGGGTTAAGTTACACTCCCGAAAACTAACATGGACCCTGAGAATGGCACCCTCCAAGACTGTTTTTCTCTACAAACCAGTTTTCAGGGTCATGTTAGTTTTCAGTGTTCAGAAGCTTCCCAGGTTGTGACCCCGCACTCTAGCGCCGCGAGGGTTAATGAGGGAAACCCTAAGTCGTTGAAAGCCGCTGGGCTTTGGATCCGCGGGCAATGCGGGAATCCACCTGGCAAACAGTTCGAACAAAAATGCTCTCCCGGTCTGAAGAACTGCTTGGAATCTTGCCTGGGAAACACGGACTGCAAAAGAATGACCAAAAAAGAAACCACCAGCTGCTTCCGTTCGGGGTGACCAGGCTGGACAACCCCACACTGCTTAGGAAAGTCTGGGTGCGCTAGGGATTTGCACTGTCTCAGTGTCCTCGGTCTCGGGTACGTTCTGGACCGTTGATTCGCAGAAACAGCAGGAACTCCGTGCGTCTCGGCCCGTCTCGGCCGTCCAAAGGCTGGAAGATCAGTGCCAAGCCCTGGATGTTGCAGGGAAGGTCAAGCCTGGATGTTAGACCGTGCGCACACGTGGCAAACTACCAGGTTCTCACTACCAGTCTCTCATGAATCTGTTTCGCACTCCTGACCCATCAACCTGCCGAGAGGCTGTGATGTTCGTGAGCAAGACATAGAAGCAAAAAATGATGATCATTGACCAGCCCAGGGTCCAGTCATGACCTCCGCTCGAGCCCAGAGAGCCCATCCAAGCTCACAAACACAGCATATATGATGACTCTGAAGACTTTTCCAAATGCAAATAGCTTCATGATGTTGCAACTCTTTCACTGCTTCCCCCCCAAAGAAAAACAAACAACTACAATGAAGACTTACCAACATGGTAAATACTGGAGAGAGTAAACATGATATTAAAATCGATGATCATATTTATTTGGATTGATTCCCAAATTTGATTTTGGAGGAGGGATTGCAATTGTTGTTGTTAACGTTTGTATTTATTGTTTTGTTTTGAGGTGTCTTGGCTTGTCACCTAAGCGATTATGACAAATCACAGATACAGGACACTCTATAGGTCAGACTGTGGCTGTGAGAGGCCAGAAAAAGGTGCGTGCGAGCGAACCAAGAGAGAGTAGTTACTTCAACTTTCATGGTCACAAGCTATCATCCAGGGCTGAAATCATTTTGGTCACGTCAGGGGTGGGGCAGTGTTAGGGCCCCACCTTGGTGCTGGGGCCCGGGTCCACCTCAATCCAAGGCGAGCAACAGCTGGGGTTTGAACAACGCCTCTGGGCAACCCGAGCTCCGAATCGCGACCGGATGGGTTCGACCCGGACTTGGAGTGTCCCAGGGCCGGCTGTTTGGTCCTGCCAGTGCTTCTGGGACGAGCTTCTAGACGTCCTCGGACTCGGCCCCGCCTTGTGTTTCCAGAGCTCGAACTTCTTCCAAGATATCAGAGATGCCATCCTTGGAGCGAGCGGGATGCCATCCCTTGTCAATTCCACTGGAGATCTTAGGTGAGAACTTCTTGAAACATCTGGGACGTTCTGGGACCAGCAGTTTCATGCAAACATGTAGATAGATTGTGATAGGTTCCCACATTCATGCCTACCTCCTGAGGAACAAACCAAAAGACCCACACCAGGCGCACCAGGTCTACCTTCTTCATCCAGGTTTCCAGCAGGGTGCCATGCAGCAGCAAACTCCACATGGACAAACCCAACGTGGAGAACTTCTGCACGATGACCCTCAGTGCGGCGCAGTTGGCATCGGAAGCGGACGGACGGACACAGGATGCCAAGCGCCACCTGGCAAACAAAAACTAGACGAGTGTCAGTGTGCAAGTGTCAGTGTCGAAGTGTCAGTGTTCAAAGGATTTTCCGGAAGAACCCTTCGCAATGCTTTCGGGAAAAACCATGAAAACAACAGCTGAGTGAATATTGCACCGCTATAGATGCAATGGGTCGTAAGGAACAAATGTTAGGGCCACAATCAACAATTCAACGCTGGGAGTGGCTCCCCAACGTAGCTCCCCCAACGTCGGATGGTACATCGAAGACAAAGAGTCGATCCTGATCTTGCACTTGCCACCATTCCTGAATTGGATGTTTAGCACCATTTCGTCACGAAATGGAGAGAACAACAAAAACCGAGGGGAGTGGATTTGAGTTCTTGGCCGACCTTGGGCAACATAGAGGAGTCAGTGCCAGGTATATTGTATACTCCCTGAATTGACAGACCAAGTGCTGTAATTGCTACACCTGGGAAGGTCCACATGGACCCCCAAAACCCTATGGACCTTTGGACACTCCAAACCGAGAAGGACGACCCGTTTCTTCTGGTCACACCGGCTGTCTGTCCGTAGAAAGAAGGCGTTTTGGGTCATCACAATCCCAATCGACGATCCAGGTGGCATAGGGAAATTGGAAGTGGTTTCGGAGTAGAAGGCGCCAATCTCATGGAGGTGGTCTGTATGGACCTTCCAAAGACCGCGGGGCTGCACCAAACCCACTCCGAAACCAAACCAAGGAAAAACAACATAAAACAACCATTCAGGCAGGGATTCGGTTCGTTACGCGCATGGGTCTCGGACCAAGCGTCTCTGAGGAAGTGACGTCGGAGAGGAACATGTTGATGACGATGGAAAAAACGTAGTTCATGCCAAGGATCAACCTGAATGTCTAAGAGTGCACACACCCGTTCCAAGAAGGGACACTTGGAATCACACTGCACTCTGCGGGGCAAAGTGGGTGCGCAAAGCACCTCAAAGATCTTTTTCTGCGCGCTTGCGCAAGCTGGCCGCAAGGTTCCACTTGTTTGAACATAAAAAAATCTCTAGGACACGCTGTTCATCTACTCTCGCGCAAACTAACATGGAACCTGAGAATTGACCGGTGGAAGACCATTTTCCTCTACAACCCAGTGGTTTTGGGGTTCCATGTTAATTTGTCATGGTGGCTTTGGAGAGACAACCTGTAAGCGGCACATGTCCTCGTTTGGCCCGCCGCCTCTCTAAAAGGATTATCATCTACGTCAAGATCTCAACTGTCTGCAGTCTGCAGGAACACGGTCCAAAACACTACGTACTTGAAATCAGAATACCCGAAAACTGCGGGAGTTGTGTATCGGCTCATTCTTTGAACCCTTCTAATTCTAAGAACCCTTTAAGAATCTTTAAGGTGATTACACACAGTGGCCAACTCCTCTAGAAGGACTTAAACAAGCGATAGGGACACCGCAACTGATATTGAGCAAGTGAATCTTAATTATCTTAACGGTTACTTATATAACCAGATTTTCCAGCTAGAACATAGCAAACTCAAGCACATCTTCAAGCTCCCGTAAAACCCCCTTGGAATGCCTTGCTTTTGCTGCCTGATGTTGCCTCCTAGCAGCATCAGGGCAGAGGTCACTGCGCGTGAGGCCGCCCGCATGCCGTTCACCAGGGTCAACAGCTCCTGACGACCGGGGTCAGGTCTCTGAGGCTTGGCTGTCTGGCTGTATGGTGCCCAAAATCCTTGCAAATCACCCTTAGAATTTCAAGGTGAACTTGGATGGACCATTCTCTACTTAGAAAAAACGGGGCATTCACTTTAGTCTAGTAAATGGTCATGGCCAGGTAAAAACACTCTCTAGAAAATGCTAGGCATTCGAGAATATATATAAATATTAGACCTTACGTTGATGAAATGTTGCCTCTCTAGGGAATGGTATGAGACGAATGTAAAATAAAAAATGCATTTTCTAGAGGTGCATGGGAAAGGGATTTTTGACCAAGATTCCTCGATGGCCGAATATTTAAGTAACCATTTCCTAGAGATTTTCAGTCATCCATGAAAATTATGAAAAACATCAAGCAACCAATTTCTAGAGCGGCAGATCTTGTACAATATTGCAAAATCGATTCCAATCATATGCAATCAGCATCTATCAGCTTTGACATGCACAGACATACACGACACAGCAAACATCAGCAAACTATAGCAAACTTTTTTCCACCCAATCTTGGCTTCCGAATCCTTCCGAGTTTTTTTCAGGACAATCATTTTGATTGTCTGGTTTCATCAGCGCTTTGCCAAACAGCAGAATTGGTCAAACAGCAGACTGTCTAATCCATTAAAAAACCTGCTTTATAGAAAATGGTGGGGTTCCAGCAATGTATGGGGACATGCCTCACTAGAAAATGACCCCCTTTCTACGGAACCCGGGTTGAACCATTTCCTAGAGGAAATTCTAAGGGGGATCCTTGCAAGCTTTGGGACATTGGAAGACCAACGGACCAAATATTGACATGTTTCAAGATGGCACGTACGGCTACCAGTACTTGTTCGGGCTCTTTTCGGGCGCCTGTCCCTGTGCAAAGGTTCAAGAACCATCTTTCCGTCGAATCAGGTTTCAGACCTCCAACGCCTACCATGCCATGCCCAGCGTCCCCAAACTCGGAAGTGTCACATAAATGTCCCACCCACCCTCTTCCCCCAGACTCGCTCCGGAAGAGATCGCAAGATCCTGACCAAACGAGAGAGCCTGGCAGAATGAGCGCAGGAGATGAGCGCAGCGTTTCAGGCGCGGTTTTGGCACCAAATTGGTCCCCCAAAACAAATTTGGGCATATAGAGCCCTGTTTGGGTTCTAGATCTCATGAAAGGAATCAGACCGGTTTGAGTGCCTTCCCCGGCACCAAGTTCCAAAGACAGAATATTTGGCTAGCAGCTAGGCATGTGAGATTGAAGCCTTCAGGTTGTGGAGCAGAATGCACATATTCCAGAAGACTGGCGGATCCAGAAAAAACGGATGGATCACATCAAGCATTTGGATTCATAGGGATACCTCCCAATGGAACATGGGAGATAGACCATCGGGCCCAGGCCCGCAATGAGCCTGAGGGTCTTGTCCACCTTTGGTGCGTTCAATCCCTGCCCTGCGAGGTGGTCACACCAAACAAACACACAATGGTACCAAATCCTGCACCGATACGCTGGTTGCAACATGATGCAAAGGCCTTTGAAGCAGGACTTTGTCCCATGAAGCGGTAGTTACGTCATGTTACGTCATGACGTGTCGTGACGTTTTGCCTGTTGTTCTTCCTTGTTTTACCTGTGGCTTCTTCATTTTTCGTACTTCTTGACATTCCTTGACTGATGGAAGGGTCCCTATAGGAGTATCCTCCCACTGGTCCAGCATCGCTAAAGGACCAGCCTCAAGAGCCGCAGCAGGCGCAAAGGCCCAGTGGGGAGGCTGTTGCCACTCTCCGCAGCGCCAGCGATGAGGAGGCCAATGCTGAGGAGCCAAGTCTCGAAGACCATCAACATCACCTCACCATCTCCAAACTTGCACCCTGCCCCCCCAACGAACATCAACCTCTGAACCGGACTCTACGATACTCGTCACTACCTTTAAAATAGAAGTTGTGGCCTACCAAATCTCCCAGCTGTTGCAGTCCGAGTTCCAGTTCCAAGATCTTTCAACTACGATTCACACAAACAACTGGGTCACCCGTGGGCCACCGGTACACCGCCTCGAACGCGTGGTCGTCTTCGCTCATAATGGCGGCTTCAGTCGACTTCCGACCCACCCAGGCACTAAGATGGTGTCGAAGACAAACCACGCGTCCCGCAAGCAGTTCCGCTTGTTCTCGAAGGCCATGAAGCGCACCGCCAACTCAAACCTCGCGAAGCCCGCCGACCCACCGCGGGACGGAGACGACGACAGGTCCGGACCTTGGGAGCCTGCAGGGCCGGTCCTACATCCTATGTGTGGGGTTCAAGCCGCAGATACTGTAGGCAAGACATGGCAAGACTAACACATGGAATCGTCCGAATCCTACAGTATCTTGTAGGGCCAGCATGGTGAAGCATGGGGCCAGCCATGGCAAAAGGTATGTGGAGCGTTGGGGGTGCCATTCTTCCCGATAAGAATGACATGCAAAATCCAACATCATCATAACACGAGGCGATGCGCAAAGCAAAGCATCCGTTGCGGTGAGATCGGTCGCCGGTCGAAAAGACTCCCGTTCCAAATCCTGTGGGCGAACGGCGCAGGCTTGCCGGCTTGCCCCAAAGAAAACGTTGAACCAGGAGTTTCGGGCATAAATGAGAAAGTCCATCCCTTGGGAGAGAACATCCTTCTTTGGGTAGAGAATGTGTCTTTTTTGAGCTTTTAAGATTCCATTGGGTCACTTCGACTTCAATTCGCACAGCTAAATCTAAGCTGACTGGCGGGCAGAATCTCTGGACACACCAACTGCCGTAAGAATCCACCTGACAGTTGCAAAAAAGAACGCACGTGTCTGGGTTCACCCACCCATGCCATGTCCTTTTTGGCTGATCCACCCATGTCACCCCCAAAACCGCTGAAACCGAGCTGCTGGCACAGCAAAAACTACGAGCCTAAAAAAAGGCGCGCCTAGGGATCGAATGCCCCACTGCTTATATAGTTCTGTAGCTGCCAGAAAAGCCGTTTTTCCCCAGATGGCCGCAGGTCCCGGGGATGACATCATGTCATGCCAGGAATGACGAACCTATGGACCCGCTATCTGGGGAGTCTATGCCGGTGTCATTTTGGAAGAATAGCTCTGAAACTCTGAAACCCTGGGATAATCGTCGCCCTGATCAGCTGAGTCCGCCGAAAAGTTCCGCCACTGGTGATCGCGTAGAGTCGTCAACTCCAGCGCTGTCCGAACACAGCGATATAAGCGGATTAATTGGGTCCCTTGGTCGTCCTCCCCCACCCACCTGCGCCAACCCGTGGCCCCTACCCACTGCGCCGTGAGACGAGAAGAAGATGCAAAAGAGGTGGTCGAAGAGTTGGTAAGGCCAAGGTGATTCGATCCTGGACCCACTGACGCGTCTGACCCGATCACATCCGGATCGATCCGATGGTGCCGAACCGTGCCGAACGTGAAACCTCCATCATCCTCCATGGGATATCTGGGATGTTTAGGATGTTGGATGGGTGCTATTTGGAGTTCGTTTCGAATGAAAAGAAGCCGCTTCGCCTGAGATAAAGCCGGAAAACGTGTTCTCAGTCGATCTTGGGTGGGATGCCTGGCTAAGTCAAGTTGATGCTCCTTGTGACTCAAGGAGCTTGACAATGGGAACACGTGGGTCCGTATGAGAACTCCTTGCATACTATACACCCTTTCCACACCAACTCATCAATCACAGAGCTCATCACAGTTCTATGTTTCTTGCCACTCCTTCGAGAAAGAGGCTGCACGATGCTGCAGGCATGCAAATGTTAAACCAAAGCGTATATTATATAACAAGACTAGCCCGTCTTTACCCCCTCATAGATGTTTGATGATTTTTGCATCGTCATATCAGAAAGCGCAAAACACCGGGGATTCAAACCAAAGTTCGATAGGCCATTAAAACAAAAAAACGCCCTTTCTTGCCAGTTCTTGTGCGTTCACTCCATGATTACGTATATGTTGTTACCTTCATGCTGGTGCTTCCATGGCTCAGGGTGGGTGCAGTATTGTTGTCGGCATCGATGCCAATGTAGATGGCATTGATGCCTCGGATCCACTGGCAGGACATCCACCGAAACAGACCCCGCGCGGCGGTCGCCACGGGCGACTCGGGGAAAGACCGGAGTGTCCACCAGTTGAGTGGGGTTTCACCCAGCCTCCAAGATAGATGGAAACAGGTGATCCACTGACATGCGTAGGCCGGATGAAGCAAATGGTGACCGGAAATCCTGTGTTGAGCAAGGACTGTCCAACGTCTCTCCTCCCAGATTGAGTTGGAAAGATCTAGAGGGCACCGAGGCTCTTGGTGGGAGAAAGCATGTAAAAGCCCTGGTTTTCCTGATTTTCCCCTAAATCCATTGACTCTCTCTCTGGCATATCGTCGCCTCACGTCGGACGTGAGTTCAGTGGGGCCTGTTGGTTCCATTGGTCTTTTCTTCTCCACCTGATTTGGGCAGTTCGGTTGATTCAGCTGAAGTGTATAAGGCACCTGTGAAGACGGGGTGGCACCTGTGAAACAGGTGACATGGTGTGTGGGACAGTCCCAAAATGCGAACATGGAACTCTTGCATACCCAGTTTGGCTACCCTAGAAAGACCCGTTCGTTTCTGGACCAGACCGCCTGCCGGGGGTACATGTTCAGGGTGCCAGCACCGTGCTAGTCACTTGCCGTGGCATTCCTAAAACATGATTCTTCCTGATTCTCCACCCATATTGTATAGTTACAGGTCAACGGCCTACAAGTACCGACAAACCGCACCTGCTTTCCTTGAGCCAAATCACGAGTGAAGTACAATGAATATGATACACTAGCATGCAACAACACCTATCTTTCACTTCCACCCACTTCCATGTGACTTCATTTTGGTCGAAGAAATCTATTCCTAAACACAGGAGTTCACAGGAGCTCCAGTCGTACCTCCTCAGAAGCTGGAACTGTTTTTTTTTTTCTCCGGGGTCAGGCAGCACCTGGACACTCGGATGTCGCCCATCCCCGTCACTTCCATCTGCTCTTCCATCTTCATCCTGCGGATCGCGGTGCCGAGCTCTCCGCTCCGCTCGCGTCCGCGATCCGCGCGGAATCGAGTGGCTGATGATGAAGAGCGTGATCCGCTCGAAGCGCTCGGAGCGGGCCAACGCCTCGAAGCGTGGAAAGCCGGGGGTTGAACCGGCCTTCCAGGCCGAAAGGATGGGTGTGTTTTTCGGCGACGGATGGGACGTTGAATCATATTGACCACGATAGGCCAAAAGGTGTTTTGGGGGGATTGAGGTGAAAATACGTTCCTATACCCAGTAGCTAGCCTTCCAAAACCAGCAAACTCTTCGCCCCAAACTGGGAAGGTTTGGACAATGAAAGCTCTCCTCCCTGTTTGGGGCAGCATGTGAGTGTTTGCATCCTCCACCCCTGAACGGTTTTTAACGGCGCCAGTCTCCGTAGGAATCTTTTACGTGTGGTGTTTGGGGAAGCTGATCTGGGTAAACACCGCTGATCTGAGGCTGATCTGGCAAAGCCCCCAAAAGAACCGCTGATCGCCCCAAAAAGTGAAACATATCACGAGCAAAAAAATGTGCGTTGGCAACTTCCTCGCGCCTGCGCCCAGCCATGCCGCTTGTAGAAGTTCATCACGTCATACGCCTGAAAAGGCCAAAGGGCCACCGTATATCAAGCTGCCGCAAGAATGTTTGGACCCTCAAAAGCAGGGGTCCGGGTATATCCGATATATCCCATGACCAGTAACAATGGATGATGGTTATATATAGTAGGGGCGTTTCTTACGTGATAACCACTTCCATGATGATTTCAGGGAGTGTAGAACCATGTTCACTTTGGTGTCGCATGACCAGTTTCCTTTACAAACACGTGATCTATCCACTTCCATGGAAATTCACTGGAGTGTACCTTCCACATTCCTGGTTCCGACGGTCAGCTTGACCGTTCGGTTCAAATCTTCGCCTCCTCGTCGAGCTTCATCTCCTGAGGCTGTGGGAAGGTTCCCTAACACCCAAGTGGAAATGGGATGAACATGAAAACAATGACCGGCCTCGGAGCGAAGAGAAGAGGTGAACTGATTGTCGTTTGACAAATCATAGTATCTCTCTCTCTCTCTCTCCATCGCCTTCTCAAAGAGTTCAGCTAAGCTAAAGGCATAGTATGGGTGTACTAATTTACTGTTGTACCTTTCAATTCTAGTGGGTTAAGAGTAGATGGCACAATCCCCCAAAAGGTGGACCCCCATCTGAAAGGACATCTTGGGGTCTGTGCCATCGAGCCTCTGAAACCACTGTAGGGACTGTCTGAAGAAGGAATAGACCAGTCTACCGATGGATGGAGGTCTCCCTATTTCATGCACGGCGGAGAGGTGGATCCAACGTGGATCAAAAACACCCTGGCGTATCGAGTGAAACGGTGTACTGTTTCGGTAGGTCTTTGAGTGAAACTGCATGAAGCAGCTGAAGCAACAACACCACTGCTTCAATTGGGTTGGAGGGAACATCCGTAGGAAACCATCGTTTTCACCACCAAAAACTATGGGTGTCCTGTATAGATCTGCCCTCCGACATATTCCGGCACTCTTCTTGAAACTCTTTGACATTAGCATAGTTGCCTACATTGGGGGTGGTTTCATGGGTATATAAGCATATATATGACTTACATAGAGTGTCTGGGTCGATCTAAATCTCCAAGTCAAGCCGACGCACTTCCCCAAGTCCCCCTGCGCAAATCTCCCCACCCCCGAGGATGGTGTCGCCGGTTGGAGTCCTCCTGTTCGTCTTCACCGTAGAGTCCCGGCTTCTTCCTCCGGACCAAATGCGCCTCGCCAGGTGAACCAAGTCGAGCGCCAGCTTGTGCGGGAAACAAGCGATTGAAGAACGATGAAATGGGTTTTGAAATGCGTTAACAGCCAACCAAACCCATCGGATTTTGTTTGCGCCATGTTTTAACAGATGGTTTATACTGTCGTATCACTGTTTTTGTTTGCGCCATGTTTCTGGTTGCTTAGTACCATGAATCCACACGAGTACCATGCAGGTCAGTACCCTGGATGTACCTGCGTCGAATGATGCGACCACGGTGCGGCTCAAAACCGAAGAGCAACGAATCAACGAATCAGCAATGACTCCGGTTTAAACCCAGATCAAGAGGATGTGACAATTCCAATGGGGGGGTTATTCATCAAGAGTCGTCTACATGATTTAATGTCCTTTGGGCCATCTATACAATAAAGAGTAAGCCTGAATAGGAAATACTCCGGAGACCAAAACAGCCTGAAAAGCACATCAACTGTACACCACCTTTAGCATCCTTTAGCACAATTCCTTCCACTTCACTCAACCGTATCCACCGGTGAGATCCGCACATTCATACACCAGCATATATCGCTTAAAACACACCCGCGCTGAGTTCGGCTCACCCGCGCTGAAGCTGAAACCTGCAGCCTCCGGGACCAACAGCTCTCCGTGGCCTGTCGCTCGCTGCTTCTTTCGGGTTGCTGAAGAAAGTCTTGGACGCCCTCCTTGAAGCGCCTCGGTTCGGAGAAGAGACGAGACGAGAGGTCTACAAGAAGCGCCCAGGTCTGCCAGTGTCGTACCTGGGAACAAAAGCAATCCTATGGACTGTTGTAGAGCTCGAGGACAAGCTGTTGTGTCGCAAGTGTGCCTTCCTACCAGGGTCCAATGTGAGTTTGGAGTGTATGTCTTGTCCTGTCCGAATACGTGGGACTGGAACCTCTCTCTTCCTGTCACACCCCAGTGTGTGTCTAGGTTGGTATTTTTGTTCTATTTGTAGCAGAGGGTCAGTACGGAGTCCCCACTCTGGATCAAGGGGCAGGATGCTGTGACATCACCGTGTTGCATTTGGTATGTCTTTCGTCATTTGGGACAACCAGCGACCCCAATTCCAATAGTCCAGCGACCCCATAGTTCGACCCCACCACAAACCCCTTTTTCTCTTTTGGCAACCTGAAAAACATCGGGAACCTGGCGGTTTCTCCAAGATGGCCTGAGGATCATTGAACCATTGATGAACAAAACATGTTCTTGCCAAACATCCTCGATACTGACACTGCGTATGTGTTTGATACTGCATGTAGTGGAGAACACATGCACCTTTCCCTCTTTCTGCACCCCCCCAAAAAAGGCAAACAACCTTGTGGATACCTAGGCTTCTTAGAGCCAAATGAGCCAACCGCAGCCGGCCAAGATGTTGGGTGGGTGTCAGGGTGGGTTCAGCAGCGGAGCGCTGAAGGCATCGAAGTTTGAGTCATCACGCTGAAGAATTGCTTAAGGCAATATATATAATATATATATAACCATGTCAATTCAAGGGGTGGTCCTACTGGAATTGCTTGGCCAGCTTGATGTGGCCCGCGCTGCAAATACTGGCCACTGGCTTGGTCCAGTGTGCAGAAGTTTGGACAACAAACAACAGCCATTCAAACTGGATCAAACTGGCTGTCTCATTCCTCCACCTCTGAACCTTGACTGTTGATGAATAAAAAACCCAAGTGCAAATGTAGAACCATGTAGAACCATTCTGGTATGGGGGCAATTGATGTAACGGCCAACATTGTGTAGTCGATTCAATTACTTTAGGACCGGCCCTTCTAAGCAAGGCGTACCCGTTTGAGCTCGTTCTATCAACCAACACGATGTTGTGCCTTTGGGGACGTCACCTCCAAAAAAGAACTGGTCACCCCAAAGAAGGGCATCATAGATTGGGTATGTCATATCATATTCCCTGCGCCCCAGTGGATGGTGATGGTTAGGTTGCAGGCCTTTCTCCATTTTAACTTGAGAGGAGGGAGACACGAAAGGTAGGACAGCGGGAAGAGAAGAGAACGCGAAAGGCAGGAACAAAAATGCAATGTTCGACATGGTGATTTATCCCCTCGGAGGCGACCTTTCGTAAATATATGTTCATATGCACTCTAAATGTTCAAACATATGCTCTCGAAATGTTCAAAAAGATTCTTAGGAAAACAAATTTGCCCCATGGCTCAGATCATCGGTGAGCATTGAATCGGAACATCATAGGATTTGAACTATCCTGAAACCATAAGAGGCTCACGAAGACGCTCCCCAGGAGAGAATTCACGTGCTTCACAAAACAAACTCTAGGTATGTATCCCCTCGGGGACCACCTTTCGTGATTAGAATTTCATATTCACTCTTTCTGAATGTTCAAGAGGGTTTCAACTACAGTATCCTGAAATCATGAGAGGCTCACGAAGACGTTCTCCAGGAGAGAATTGATTTTAGAGGGGGGGAGGGG